AGTATTCAATAGGCTGAGGATGCGAGTCCTCACGCCACCATTGAGAAGGGGCATGACCTATACATGCTGGATGGATAATATTTGAGTATGAGCGAAACCGGCTCTGTGCTATTACTATAGATGATCTGTTGGGTTATGGGGACTATGCATAATAGGATTTTCTATTACTACTTGCGAATCGATTCAAACCTTGACTTGTTTATGTCCAATTGGCAAGTTCTAGTCGTCTAAGAATGGGCGAGCAAGAGACGTCGATGAGGCTGAGCGCTCTGAGTCAATATTTCAATATTCAGCGCTCAGCGTTTAGCACCGGTGTTTGCCGTTGCTTGCCTCGAGTTTTGGTTAATCGCCTCTCTTGAAAGGCAGGCCACTTTCGCAGTACGTGGATATTTGGCCAAACTTTGTCTGTACGATTTGTCTTCTTGTGTCTTGTGATCTTTCCGTCTTTTACGAACATCATGGGAAGAAATAGTAAGATTTTTCAGCTTGTACTCAATGCTCCTCTAAATGTCGGCAGAGGGACGCAAACCGGATGTTCCAACAAAATCCAGTACGTATTATAACGTCTGTGCGAATGAACTTCTATTTACATCCTCATCCTCATCCAGAGCTGAAAAAGGATCCCGGAGTGCCTCGACTACCTAGTCTGAAAGTAAGGAATGCCGAGAAGATACGGGCGCATATAGTGCGTCAACAATTTTCCGTCTGTTTGTGCATTTTATTGATCAAGATTTCCCATTTTACAGCACCCAGGGCCCCATACTACCGATCCGGATGCGGTCATGGCTTCAGAGCCTACACTGTCGTCACTTGCCATGTTGGCGGAGTCCTCGACACCTGCTGAGAACGACTTATTTGATCCCTCATCTTCTGCCATCGGTGTAGCGAAAACAAGGGAGCAACTGCGTCGCCACTACGTTCGTGCGCTGCACAAAGTGATCGACGACAGCGATATTATCGTACTAGTTCTCGACGCGCGTGATCCCGAAGGCTGCAGGAGTAGATTAGTTGAAGAGGAGGTTCGTCGGCGGGAGAGTGAGGGCAAGAAGCTCGTCTTTGTGCTGAACAAAATCGGTACGTCTTTTCGTTGTGGTACGTCTGGTCTCCAACACCATATTGGCAGATCTCGTTCCACGCGACAATGCGCAGGCATGGTTGCGATACCTTCGCCACACGACGCCTACTTTACCCTTCCGATCCGCGGCGAACCATCACCGCACTAAGCTGTCGTCTTCCACAGCCCCCGCACTGGTTCGTCTTCTCAAAGCTTACAAGCCCAGTGCAGCGCAAAGCGTAACGGTGGGCGTCGTCGGGTATCCCAATGTCGGCAAAAGTAGCCTCATCAATACCCTCAAACGGTCGAAGGTATGTCGTAAAACAGGTTCCACGAAGAACCTATTCAAATATTACGTTTAAGGTTTGTGCTGTTGCTGCACAGCCCGGTCACACGAAGGATTTGCAGACAATACAGCTTGAACGGGGCCTTCGCGTCCTCGATTCTCCAGGTGTCGTCTTTGACGAAGACGATTTCGACGATGGAAAGTCCAACTCCAAGAGCAACATCTTACTGCGTAATGTCGTCAAAGTTGAAGACATCGACGATCCTATTGCGCTAGGTGCGCATACAACGCGTCCTGTGCAAATGCACTGATGTACATGATTCTATTTACAGTGGAAGAGATTGTTAATCGTACAGACCCGGCAACCTTGCAGAAGATCTACAATCTCCCTGAGATTGGTTCGACACTGGAGTTTCTCACCATGGTCGCTCTGACCACCGGCCGGCTACTTAAAGTGAGAATCCTCCTCCCTATGTACACAATTCTATGTGCTAACTTCCGCGTAATACAGGGGGGCACCCCCGACATTCTTTCCGCAGCACGAACGATATTGACAGACTGGAATCACCAAAAGATCCCGTATCATTCCGAGCCTCCTACTGTGCATCCATCTTTAATTCCTTCAACTGTACTCGAGAGTGGCGAGCGCACCGTTGCGGCCGGCGCGGAGAGTGTCGGACAAGCTCAGATTCTGAATGAGCTTTCCAAGCCATTTACGTTGGAGGGGCTTTTCGGCGCTGCAGACGCCGGGGCATTTGGAGGCAGCTCCGGCGTCGACGAGATGGAAGTCGAGCGAGAGGAGATGGGCGACGAGATGGTGCAGGACGGGTAGGTGATTTCTTCGTCACGCCGTGCGAGACTCGGTGAGCATCGGCAGCACATTCCGAGTGCCAGAAGCTGGCATGACCTTGTCTGTCTTACATTTGCACTGACTTTTGGCTGCCTTCACCAGAAACGAGATGGAGTCGGACGATCTCGCGCCCAGAATTCCCCGTAAACGATCACGCTCTCCTTCGCTCGTCACTTCGACTACCGCCCGGACAGCGACTGGCGATGCTGTGCGCGCACCAAAACGCTTACGCCGCTCGCATGATGTGCCTGCATATGATGCGCCCGTCGAGGAGCACACGCACCGCGCGATGGCACGGTCGAACCCACTGAGCAGACGTGTTCTTAAACGCGAGGCGAAGAAGGCGCGGCGAGCTGCGAACAAAGCATTCATTGCAGACGGTGCAATTGGTGGGATGGAGGTCGACGATGAAGGCGGACTGGCGGCAAAGGT